AGAACCCTTGCTTCAGGCACTGTAAGTCACAGGAACTCCCTTAGCTTTTCCAATTTCAATACCAGTAGAGAACAGCAGGAAAAAAAAAAAAATTTCTAAACTGTAGTTAACAGGACAAGGAGTGAAAGGAGATGAATGGAAGAAATGTCATTTCAAAAATAAGTCTGGGTAGGTTGGGGAGGGGATGTTTGTCTTTTTTTTTTTTTTTTTTTTTTTAAATAACCCAATTCCAGCAGTTGCCTGACACACAGTTTCTGAAAGCGCAGGTTTATTAACAAACAGAATGTATTTATTAGCAAACAGAATATGTTTCAAGTAATTGATGCTGCCTTTGGGACTTAGAGTGGGTTTAGTTGTGATTTCTTGGTTGTGGGCAAGTTGGGTTTTTTTAAGTTGGGTGGGAGCAAATGGCAATATTAATTATCTGGGCTCCTTCATTAGCCAGCCTTCACACGGCTGTTCCCTTGTTTGCACTTGTCGTTCTTGGGAAGCCAGTTTTGTGTGTCCTGTCTCGGTGGCACAGCTATCATGGCACCTTCCTGGGCTGAGCCATGTCAGCTGGTGCCTGTCTTAGTCTCGCTGCTGGTTGACCACAAGTGTTTCATTGCTGGAAATTGTGGTGCAATGTCTGACTCCTCCTCAGTTTAAAGCAGTGTTGCATTGGGAATGTGAATGAAAGTTCTCTTCAGACTTTTCAATTAAAAACAAAACCCCAAGGCTATTTTTAAAGGCTAGCTTTTGCCCACAGACTCTGAGTATTTAGCTTGTGAAACACCAAAAAATTCTTGGAAAAAAAAAACAGAAGCAGGATTTTTGTCTTAGTTTCAGAACTTGTAATTAAATTCTTTGTTATAGATAAATACTGTTCGTTCATTTGGGGAGTGGGTGTGTGTGTGAATTCAGAGGGAGTCAGAGGGGAACTGAAATTAAACCGAGGAATTATCTCTGTGTTGAATTCCTTAGAAATTTCTCGATTATTAGTATCAAGGGTCAGATGATAAAGAGCTGTACGGTAAGCTTTTTCCACGCCATTATGATGAGTAGACGGTCAGTGGAAAAACCCCAGTGGCCACAATAGCTGTTCCCATACCTTCGTTACTGTCAGAGTGTCGCTTGCAGTGAGCCCAGCGTGAGAACCTAGGGAGGAGCATGGTGGAGGAGGCTGGTGTGGATGGTGCCCAGCTCCCCGCTCCCAACCCTTGGACTGTGGCCTAGCTGTCTGTCCATGTTCACCTTTTGGCTGATTTATTGAGGCATGAGGTGCTTGTGAATTTGGACTTGAAATTCCAAAAGTGAAGTGCTACATACAAGTGCAAAGTATCCCTAAAGTGTTTTGAAAGTGCTAAAATAACATTGCGGAGCCATCACTGAAGTCAGTTTAAAACTCCCTCAATGAGAAACAAAACTCTTTGTCTCGGAGTTGTCGTAACTCAGGTTTTTTGGGCAGCCCTCTTCTTCAGGGCTGCTCCCAGTCCATTCACCAGTAGCAAACTGAAAAATAAGCAGGTTAATGATTGCTGTGCCCTCCTTGTAACAAATATGATGGTCTTTGCTAGCTAAGTTGGATCATTCATGGGAGGTAAACAAAAAGATAAGTCAAAGATATCCATGGGACCTCACACGCAGAGCTCAGACAGGACCATCATGTTCTCTGACGCATCAGTCACCTTTCATTTCTGTGTCAGTTTTATGCCTGTTACTGTTCTGAGTGTAGAGGAAAATGCTTATGAGCTTATGGTATTAGAAGGGAACTGTTTTCTTTACACAAAAGTTTGGGGAATAACTTACTCTACTCTGATTCTGTCCTTGATTTTGTGCATCACTTGTCAGTTGTCATTTAACCACTCTGTGTGGTTTTCCCCAGGCTAGAGAACATTACCTTGCCTGGTAGAAAGGATTTCCTTAATTCCCAGTGAGAGGGCCTTATGTCGTAACGCGTGCTTTTGTGGCGACTGAGGCAGCCACGCTAGTTTTCAGTAAAAAGTCTGTGATGTTCATCGATTGATTGTTACTTTTGCTGTCTTCCTCTCATTAAAGCTCCTGTACCATGTGTATCATTTCTAGATGTGAAAGACTCGAAGAGCAGCTAAATGACCTGACTGAGCTCCACCAGAACGAGATCCTCAATTTAAAACAGGAGCTGGCCAGCATGGAGGAGAAAATCGCCTATCAGTCTTACGAGCGAGCCCGGGACATCCAGGTGGGTGCCAGAAACACAGAGACTCAAGTCCTGCCTTCCATCTGCTCTGTCTGTAATTCCTTTGCTTTTGAAATACTTCTGCGATTTGATACTTGGTTTTAATCCTTGTAGCTTTGTTGCTCAGCTGCATATTGACGAGTTCCAAAGGGGCCCTTACTCCACTTCTGACCTTGGGTGTCTCTCCAAGTAGCTTCTTCCGTAGAGAAGGCATGTGCCCTTGCCCCCCGCAGGCAGGTTTGTCTGCGGAGGGAGCCTGCCGCTTGGTCTGGAGCAGAGCTTTTAAGCTGCAGCAAAGTGGGAGCCTGTGTCCACCTTTTGTACAGGGCTTTGTAGGGTATTAGAAACCAACGGGCCGTGACCTGAGCACTTTTTTTACAGCAGTGTTCCCAGCGAAAGGGTGTGTTTCTGTGTCACTAATTTTAGAGCAGTGGTCACATATGTCTAAGGAAAAATAGCTTTGTGTATCCAGTGTCTTGAGTCAGGAAACAATTCTTTCTGTTGGTTTTGCCCAAATAAGGAGGTATTTTTAAAAGAGAAATTTCTTTCCGTATGTAGAAGACCAAAGCTATGGAAACAGAGATTATGAAGTTGGAGGGCCTTCCACAGAGCAAAAGACCTGGGAAATGATCTAAGCAGCCACAAAGGTCTGTTCAGAAACAGGTCTGACATCCATTTAAATACTTGCTGTGCTAGTTTTAGCAGGGAACTCAGTCCCGATCATTGACGTGACATATTTATAGCGTGAGCAGAGAATTGTAGGTCAAAGTTCTCCCTCTTTCTTCCCCCCAAGGTACTTCAGCCAGGTGGTTTCCTCTGGAGACAGAGTGGCTGCACTTTTGGCACTCTTGTAGATCTAGCTGCTGCAGGTCCAGTTGAGTCAATGTCCTTCCAGGTTGCTTACTGTTAGAGGAGGCTGAGCAGTACGGCTGCCCCGTACTTGCAGGGACCGTATCTGAAGAGAAGCCCCCATGTTTCATTGACCTCCGCAGACATGATGCAATGACAGAGAAATGTAACAGGTGACAATGACCTTTAAGTTCAGGTTAAAATAAATCGGTGTCTGTGGACAGTGGTGCCATGGCCTCCGACAGAGTAAACAGGAGTCTTTCCCTTGGGGGAATGTTGCAATATTCAGGTTTTGTTCTCCTCTCTAGTTTAACACAGCAGGAAGAAGTAAGGTTGAAAACTTAAATTGAAGTGGGGATTCCTCAATGGCTTTTTTTTAATCTTAGTTTTCTGATTCAGCACTTTTAGTGTAAACTTGCAAATTGGGACAGACTATTCCTTAGCATTCCTGGGGAAAAGGTAAGTGTTGAGTTTTCTTACATGAAGAACTAGTTAAGAGCATGGGCCAGTGCTGCAGAGGAACAGAGTCCCAGTTCCTTTTTTCAGTGATCCGTCTGAGAGAGACTGCTGCTTGCTGCAGACTTCTAGATGTTACCCAAAGTTGGCATTAGTGTCCAAGATCAGCAGTTCTGAGGGAGGATTAATGGAGTTGAATGGGCTCACAGAGGGGTCGGAGAAGCACAAGCTACTGCAAGGAAAGTGGTTGAGATGGGAGACTCTGGGAATGTGCATCCCAGAAGAGGAAGAAGAGGAGGAGTGCTGACTAGACACAGCACCTTTGTCCTCTCAGTAGTCTCTTGAAACCAGAGCTGAAGCAAGCAACTCGCTGGGTAACACCCCCTTCCTGGACAAAGGCTGTCCGATTGCTGAGGGCTGTCAGCATCCTCCTCCCTCTGGGTGCGATGGCCAGGCAGGAAGGGTGGTGAGGTCCCGGGTGGCCGTTGCGCCACATGCAGGGACAGGCAGCTGACAACGCAAAGTGGCAGCTGAGGTAACAAAGCCTGACTTCTGCCCAGCCTGTCATCTCTCTGCTGAGTGTCAATGAGATGACGTGGTGTGTAGCAAACTGCCTTGCCTAGTTAACGAGGGGCTACTCGCCCTCCATCATGTGAAGTGGCACAGCTTCCTCTGCTCCTGCTGCAGGATGTGAACTCAGTGCAGTGACTCATGTCCTGCAGGAGGTGCGTGGGGCGTGAGGAGGGTGGCCCTGGTCTGGCCCAGGTGGTAAGGTGGGAGCCATGGGCTCTCCACCACTGGGGTGGACTTGTGGAGTACTGGCAACCCAGCAGTGTGTTCTTGCCAACAGGAGGCACTGGAAGCATGCCAGACCCGCATCTCCAAGATGGAGCTGCAGCAGCAGCAGCAGCAAGTGGTGCAACTGGAGGGGCTGGAGAACGCCACAGCCAGGAACCTGCTGGGGAAGTTCATCAACATCCTCCTGGCTGTCATGGCTGTCCTCCTTGTCTTCGTCTCCACTGTGGCCAACTGCGTCGTGCCCCTCATGAAGACCCGCAATAGGACGTTCAGCACTTTATTTATAGTGATTTTCATTGCCTTTCTGTGGAAGCACTGGGATGCCATCACCGGCTACTTGGAACGGTTCTTGTCTCCCCCCAGATGATGGCGGCAGGAATTGGCTGTGTCGCCCTCCTTCTGGCGCTCCCAGTGAGCCAGCGTGGCAAAGATGAGTCAGCAACTACTCCGCTGAAGTTTTAAAGTGTCCGAGTGAATTTGTTTACATTTAGAATAACGTTTTTTCTCTGCGAGATGCATTGCAATAGTATTTTTTAGATTTTATTGAAGAACTCTTTTTGGCGAGAATCCTGGATAATTTTTATGTAGCATGGTTCTCTTTGGATGCAAATCTTAAGATTCTTTAAAGTGTACAAAAGAAATAAATAAAATACAGAAATTTGGAGCATACCAATGGGCAATTTAAATTGTGGCTTGAACCACTGTACTAAACCTGTCAGGAAGAAGAGAACGTGGTTAGCTTAAGATGAGCGAAGCTAAATCTAGTGCATAGCCTTGAATGATGGTACCACAGCAAACCTGTAACACTAAACTTTTACTGTGAAGTCTGCTCACATTCCATGTCCAAATGTATGCGTTCAGAGTGGTTTCTTTCCTTAAGAAGAGAAAAACGACGTGTGGATCTCTTTCCCAGCTCAGCGTCTGGGTTTGCCATTTGTGCTAACCTGACTTACAGTAACTTTCTCTAAGGCTGGCTAACTTTGCTAAGCATATGAAGTGGAAGCCTCATGCCGTACGCAGTAACTGCACAGTCGTGCTACAGTATTTTGAAGTAGTCCTTGAAATACTTATCTTTAAGCAGAAGCCCTTGGTCGCACTTTTAAGGTTTTTTTTATATATGTATATTCACAGATTAAAAAAAAATCCGAACAGCATACTTGAAGAGTGTAATACTCAAACTCTCAGTGCTTCCTTATTGTTTCTAATAGGATTTTTTATTATAATTATTATTATTATTATTGGGGGTTTTTTTTGGAAGGGGTTGGGAGGGTCGTTACTTTTTTTTTCCTTTTAGATAAAGAAGTGATGTTTTTAAATGAAGAAATGCGTGAATAATTGTGAGCCGTCTTGTCCTGAAACAGTTTTGAGGAGGACAGAGAGTAGTTTCTAGTGCCAGCCTGTCTGGGATGCAGCGCTGTTCATATGCCATTTATCTGTCCTCCTGAGCATACTGATGCAGCATCATGAAAAACATCTGTCTTCTCCACACATTTCTGTCATGCAGGGCTTTTCTTTCTTTTTGCAGATGTGAAGGAGGGTATGTTTATGTTTCTCATTTGCACATCATCTCTCATTCCTGGCCTCAGGATAAGAACAAGGAATTCCTCTTCAGCCCTTCCTAGGGAAAAGACAGGTTCTTTTAAGGAAAGAAATACTGAATCAACAGTCCACATAAAAGAATGGTTCTCAGAAATATCTCTGATTTAATTTTTTAAATAAATCCCTAAAAAGTGAAACCAAAGTTTTCCTCCTGTCAGGCTCTGGTAAGATCATTTGTGTGTCTGTGTTGAGACCTTCTTTGTATGCTGTGTTCGTGTGGTGCGCTGTGAGAGCATCCTCTTCTTCAGCCGTGGGGGCAAGTACTTGGTGTAGACATCTTTTGAAGCTCTAAAGGAAATGTCAGCTTCAAGTGCAACTCTCAAGTCCTAGCGATGTGCCGTTGCTGGTGACCTGTTGGTACTGGCCAGGGAATCTGCGTCCACTCTGTGCTGTTTTGTTACCTGGTGTCCCCTTCACCGTAACACAGCCAAGATTCAATTTTCTTCTCCATGAAATCCAAAAAGACTCCAGGATTCTCTTTTAAAACCATTTATGGTGTTTAATTAGATCTTACTGTTTTCCTTCCTTACAGGCTTAAGTTTCCTCCCTAGGAACCAAATGTTGCTCAAGTGACCTAAACCAGTTGAAATTTTACGCATGCAGAACATGTACCTCATATACGTATACCTGCCGAGGGCCAGGACTTCATGCTATGATGCGAATTCTGGGTTCTGAGAAATTCCCTCAAACTAGGCTAACGGCCTTGAGGGTCTTGTGATTGCCAGCAGAGGCAAGCCCTCCACCGTCCAGCCGTCCTTCCTTCAAAGATTCTGTCTGTTTTTTCCATAGTCACGGGAAACTCAGGTACCCCGCTCCCCAGGGATCCCGGCACACCTCTCTCTGTCACCATGTGCGCTAACCTGCTCCTGTCCTACTTAAAACACAGATTGCCAATTGCAGACTCAAGCCAAAAATAGTCGTGCATTCTACAGAGTTGCAGACAGCAAAGATTGCATAAACCTTCCCTGGCTAGACCATGCTTCTAGCTCCAGTGAAACGCTGTTCTGCTTACCACCCTTCTCTGGCTGATTCAAATTATGTGGGTAACTATGGCCTTCCCATGGCGTAGTTTTTGTCAGAAACAAAGGTGTGAATAACAGTAAGAAGTGATTTGGCACGTACTTGAAAAGCTTTGTTGCCTTTATTTCTGAAACCTGGCCTTTGCACCTCTCTTTTTCTCAGTTTTGATCACGCTAGAATTGCTCGTGGTAGGTTTTTACGTGGTCAAAGCAGGAAGGAGTTGAAGGCCAATGGATCTGGACACTTAGTGCCACTCGTCCATAGTATTTGGAGAAAATGTTTGTCCCCCTTCTTTGTATCCTAATTTCATTTCATTTAGTGTCTCAACTCTGTGTCCTCTTCAGTAAACACCATTTGCTACTTTGCCAGAAGGCGCGGGCTTAATAGAAACTTAGCACCTCAAAACTGTTTGGTGAAGGCCATGTACATATGGTTCTGGACAATGTCTGTCTGTCTGTCTCTTTCTCTCTCGACAGTTTCTTCCATTCCAGAAAGCTGTCTGCAGTAATGCCATAGATGATGTTGCATCCACTTTTCATATCCTAACACAACTGCCATGTGTTTTGCCTTTTGCATTAGCAGAACGTTTCGGGGTTTTCCTCCCTCTTCAGTTTGAAGGTCTGTGATGATTTCTGATAGCTTAACAATGATTATGTTGTTGGAAATGTGATTCTAGCTTTAAAGCTCCCTTTCCTTGTAAGTGGTTGTGTTTGCTGTCTTGATGAAGCGTTTCTGGGTGACACGTAGAAGACAGTTTCCGCCATGGGTGTGAGTGTGTGTGCGAGTACCGTTTATTAGCCTTCCTTATGGATGTAAGCTCCCTAGTGACCATCTCTGAGTTGCAGAATGTTTCCCAAAACATTTCATATTCAGGGGTTAAACGATTCTGAAATTGCTTAGATATGTTTAGCACATATCAACTTGGCATATAAAAAGGGAAGAATATAATGGACTGTGTTAGTTCAAAAAGCAGCAGCTCTTAATTGAAATTCAGTGGTTCAAATGAAATTATTCCGTTTCCCCCATTTGCTTTCTCAATGTAAGGAAGAATATCGATGCAAAAAAATTACCATTTTAAATTTTATAAAGTTCTTTTTTCTCTCAGCCTCATTAGTTTAGTTTAATGATACTCAGCATGCTCACAGCAATTATTTCACTAGTTTATTCCAATCCCTTGAGTTCATAGGGTCTCATCAGATTAAATGTTGACTTCTGTACATGTTGCACTGGGACAGAAAAGCACTGTCTTTCAGCTTTAGAAATATGCATTTTTTTAAATTAAAAAAAAAAAAAGCGCAGCATTATAACAAAAGAAGCCAAGCTACAAAGGGGTTCAAGATTGGGTAGTTTTGCCAGTGTTTAAGTGAATTCTGAATGTGGCTAAAGAGTTAAAAACCCTGTGTGTCTGTGTTGTGTATGCCAGGTGGTATAGTAGTAGGCAGTTGACTTAGCTGTAAGTGTGTTTTAAAAGTGTAAAAAAATAAACAGAAAAACTCACTTGCACGGGTTGAAGAGTACAGAAATGACACTTGTGAACGTAACACTGTAGTTTATAGATCTTAAGCTGCTAATTGTTGAGAGAGATTTACATTTGTCTTGTCTGGTTGTCGCAGATTTATCTGTGACACTTTTACTGTATATAAAAAACTTTAAATAAAGACCTCAGCTATTAACGCTGGCCTAATTCGGATGTTTCCAAAGGGATAGGGGGTGGGAGGGTGGTCAAGAAGAAAAAGAGGGATGTGTTAAAACTGCGCTGAGCCCTAACAGCTTAAACTTTGAGCAGGTTCTCCGTAGATCCGATCATCAAACTGCCCATATCATCAGCTGTGCAGCGCCTGGGCATGGCGAGAGTCAGCTGGCTGCGTTGTCTGGTCTCAGTAGAGGAGGAGCAGGAGCAGCACTGCCTTTGCCTTCTTCCCCATCCGTTTCCTTCCCGCCCCCCTGAGCCGGGACAGCCCCTCTGCAGGGTCGCTGCCATCCCCGCAGGGGCTTGCCCTGTTGGCCTGGCTCTTCTCTGCCCACGCTGCCTGCAGCACCGTGCTGCCAGCCTGCTGGGGTGGGTGCAGCGGGATGGCTTGCCCCAGCCAGGAGCAGGTCCCATGTTTTCCACGTCTGAGCAGGCTGTAAGCAGCCGCCCTAGTTAGAGGGGGCGGGGGCTGCCCCTTGCTGCTTTGGGCTTCTGCCTTACCGGGGTTGCAGGATCGGCTCGGTGCTGAGCTGCATGTGCAAAGCAAGGTGCGATTCCAGCCTCGCCTGTGTTTCTCGCATGGATCTTGTGATGGAGCAGCTCCGGGCCCCAGCTCAGCTTTGACAAGGAAGCATTCAGCTGGTGGGACAGCACTCGTTAACCAACAGCCCGCTCCCTCTTCCTCTGCGGAAAGGCGAGAGTGTATGATGTTGGTTGGGCCACCACTAAACATATGTATTTTGTCTACTGTGGTTCATAGAAGAATTTCTGAATTCTTCAGTAGTTGTACAAGCTGGAAGCCAGCAAATTCCTCACTGACGTGGAGAAAATACTTGTTTCTCTTGGGTTTTGGTCACATGGTCCTGAGAACACAGAACTGAGCAGGGAATGGCAGCAACTTTTTTAAGGGGAAAGGGACCAGGTAATTTTGTCTGTTTTCTCAAAAAGATTTAAGTGCTGTAAAATCAGCAAGAGATGAAAAAAGCAGAAGCACCTGTTTGCAGTGGTTTTTCTCCCCCATAGTCTCCCCACAACCTGAATGCAAATTCCAGCTGATGATAGATGAAACAAGTGCACGGGGCTGCTTTTGCGAGAGCTGTCTGGCTCAAGGTAGGAGATGGGTGCTGGTTGTGAAGTTTCATGTTTTTGCTCTCTTTTGGAGCCATCACCTGATAGGTGCTGGTTGGACTCGCTATGGTTCTTGAACGGGGCTTGGGATCAACGAGAGGCATGATGACCAAGGATGAACACAGGGGCCTTCTACTCTCACGTCAACAGTTTTAATCCTATAATTTAGAGGACCGGGAGTCTAGCTCAGCTTTTTGGTTAGTCTGTG